CAAATCGCACTCTCGCCTGCATTTCGCGCACTCGACACGCACGATCTCCGCAGAGGGTTGCGCGCGCACCGGACAAATCGCACTCTCACCTGCATTTCGCGCACTCGACACGCACGATCTCCGCAGAGGGTTGCACTTATTGACGCTGTTCGTCCCGCACTCCGCCTTTAAGAGAGAATTTATAAAGTGGGGAAATGTGTCTTCATTAGGACATCTCCCGTGCTAGTTTTCCATACTCACACTTGCCTACTCATTGCATGCTTGCATAGTCATTGCGTGCTTGCATACTCACCCTTGCATATCATGCTTGCATACTTACACTTGCATACTTTGACACTGGCATACTTCGCACTTGGATGCTTTCGCTCTTCCAGTGTGTGTGTGTAAGTGTGAGTGTCGAAGTGTCAGTGTTCATAAGTGTGAGTGTCGAAGTGTAAGTGTTCAAAGGATTTTCCGGAAGAACCCTTCGCAATGCTTTCGGGAAAAAGAGAACTGTACCAAGTGGCCACGTTTGCACTTGTAACGGAGAACCATGCAGAGGTGCACGGCGTGCCACGAAATCTCTTTTGCTCCTAGTAGTAAGGCCAGGAGCCCCTAGTAGCTTCTTGTTACTACTGGTAAGGCATTTGTTACTACTAGCGATGCACTTGTTACTACTAGGAGCAAGAAGCTATTAGCTTATTGTTTCTACTAGCTTCTTGTTACTACTAGTAAGGCACTTGTTACTAGAAGCGAGGCACTTGTTCCTAGTAGCGTCTTTGCTCCTAGTAGCGATGCCAGGAGCCCCTAGTAGTGCAGAGGTGCACGGTGATTCAGAGGTGCACGACGGTGCACTCTTTTGCTTCATTCAAGGTGACGTTGAGCTCTTGATTTCAGTCGTTGACCCGTGTGGCGCCAAAGACCTGAATCTAAGAGCTCTTCTGGCCTTTGACCCGTGCATGGTGTTGTAGAAACCTAATAGGAAGAGCAAAGGACGCTACTAATAGCTTCTTGTTACTACTAGTAAGGCACTTGTTACTAGAAGCGATGCACTTGTTACTACTAGCGTATTGTTACTACTAGCAATGGCCTCCAACCTAGTAGCAAAAGGAACCTAAGAACGATGGCCTCCAACCTACTTGCGATGGCCTCCAACCTAGTAGCAATGGCCTGAACTCTTCTGACCTTTGACATGGTTTTGTGACTGCAAGTGACTTGGTACTTTTGTCACAACCTGTGACTTGGTACCTTTTGCTTGAGTTGCTCTGCTCTATTTGTGTGATTTTCCATGGATGTCAAGGCTACCGCTCGCCGCTCTTCGCACATTGGGGCGCGAGCATGTGCGCTGGGTGGCATTGGAGTGCAAGCAAGCCCTGCTGAAGCAAGGAAGCCAAGGGAAGCCAAGAAGGTGAAAGGGTCAAAGACAAACCAAAGACATCAAAAGCTGTGAAGAGAAGATGCTGTCAGACCTCGTAGCTCTGCAAAAGATCTGCTTCTGTGGAGGTTTGAAGGATCCAGAAACTGAAGATGTAGATTGCTGAAAGCCACGGGGGAGAACTACTAGGAGCTACAAGCAGCTTCTTGTTACTAGTAGTTGCTCAATGTTGCTCACAATTAGTCTTTTTGTAAATCGAACCACTTTCAGTGGTGCTGTCCAGGGCTGCTTCGTCAGAGTGCTGAGGTCTTGGAACGCTAGAATTGTTCACAACCGGCCGTACCTGAAGAAGATGCCAGTTACCCAGGGCCCGATCCGACACTCAACATGATCCGGCAAACCCGATCCGAGTGCTCAACAAGAAATAACTATTCTATCTATTCTACACAACGTTTCTGATTTCTGGTGAAAGACATTGGTTTGATTCTTTTTGGATTCATTTGAACCTGTCCTTTTCACTCAAGGAACCTCTCCAACGTCAGGGTCTCAGGACGCTTCTTGGAAGACCACAAAGGTCATTGAGGCTGTTTGCAAATCCTGAGCCGAGGATATCGCATCCTGGGGTTGTTGGGAGATCTTTATTGAGGCCAAGACTAGTGACCAGCTAAGACCGTGAGACTGTTTGTTGTGAGGATAGCGATTTGAGCTGGGCTGTGATTGTCCTCAGGCCAGGCACGAGGAAAGGGAGTGATTGAAAACATGGATGGACTCTTTTCAACCTGCAGATTCCTCACTCCAAACATGAGCTACTAGGAGCAAGGACGCTACTAGGGGCTCCTGGCATCGCTACTAGGAGCAAGGACGCTACTAGGGGCTCCTGGCATCGCTACTAGGAGCAAGAAGCTACAAAGGGGGTGATTAAAACAATTGATGGTTTCTGTTCAACCAGATTCATAGCGTTTTGGTCTCGAAGTAGAACGGAACATAATAGAGATTCCACAGCAACGTGGAACAGCAGCCGTAGCAACACCGAAGAAGAATGAACCGGGGACAAGCATTGACAAGCACTCAAGCCAAGCTGAAGACCCAACCTAATCGTAATGGCCGCCAACCTACTAGCGATGGCCTCCAACCTAGTAGCAATGGCCTCCAACCTATTTCCTAGTAGCGATGGCCTCCAACCTACTAGCAATGGCCTTCAATCTATTAACGATGGCCTCCAACCTAACCTAATAGCGATGGCCTCCATCCCAACAGCGATGGCCTCCAATATAAAAGCGATGGCATCCAACCTTCTAACAGTTTTGCTTCCGCTCGTTGCCCACTCATGGCTGACTCGAGCGATGTGGGAAGAAGAATCTCAGACTTCCTGATAGCGGTTGAAGCTGAGCGAGGTGAGATTTTGGAGAATCTGTATGCTGATGGAGCATCAGTGCGAGTGATTTTTAGAGAAGTGTTGCCCCCACTGGAGCAGCAACTGGTGATCCGTTTGTCATTTGGAGGCAAACGGCCTTTTCAGGAGGCTGTTGGGGCAGAAGAAAAAACACAGGATGAACACGCAAAATGACCATGGAAGCGGCTTGAAATTGGTCACCGTTCCAGGCAGTTTCTTCTATCGACAAAAACCAAATCATCACAAAACAGTATTGATAGTGGAAGCGGAGAGGAATGCAAACCCACAACCTGAGTATGGGAGCACTATGTTCTGAGTACCAACACACGTGCTCACAACTCACGACCAATCTACAGAGCCTTTGACATGCACAGGCCCAAACCACGAACATTTCGTGTAAGTCCAACTGAACATGTGTATTTTACCAATTCAGGGTAAACAAGGCCGAACGTCGGCTTCCGAATCTGTATTGAATCACGGTCAAACTTCAGGTTTCTCACATTTTCACAAAAGGATCAACTTTTCTGTTCCGTTATCTCTGCAATTGTCGTGTCACGTTCCACTTCATGACCCCTGGTTCATGTTGCCATTTGACCTCTCAGTGTTTTCACAAGTAGAAGGGTAGGAAACTGTCGACACTTCATGACTGATGGACAAGGCAGCTTGAGAGCACGCCGCTGTTTGATTCATAGGGCCAAGCTCCGGTAAGGGCCGTGGAATCGCATTGGTAGCTTGGCAGGTGCAGCGCAGCTCTCTCTCCCGCTGCCGGGATGTTCTTTGATGAGCTCCACGAGGACTATGGCGTGGATGAGATCCCAGCTAAACAGATCAGATGGATGAAGAAGAGGGTGACGACAAGAGGTCTACGACTTTTTGCGAGGGGAAGCCCGACCTCAGTAGCTCCTAGAAGAGGTTCACACGGCCCCTGCTCCTCCTAACAAGGCCAGACTGGTCATGGGAAGAAATGGCGGTCAAGTGTACCACCTCCGCCGGGCTTCAAGATGGGCGACAGAGTGCGGGGGAACGAGCGGGGCACCGGACACCGGGCAATTGCAACAAGCAGCTCCGTGCAAATCTGGAGGTTTCCTTCGGCGAACGTGGGATGTTCCGCCGTGGAACCTCTGGAGGGCATCACCAAAAAGGGAACTGCCACAGCAGCTTCTCCACCTTTTCGTGGACTTTTGCTTTGGACTCATATTCAAGGGAATTCCTTGCTCCATGTGCCTCCAGGAGAAAATGATGAGAATAAGTTGGAAACTCATATACCAATCCTCAAGCAGGGTGGATGAGCGCGACGTCAGCGCCGCAAGTTTGTCTGGTGGCTGGGAGTCGCTCATGGGCCATCCATGTCCCGACCATCGTAAATGCCCCCGTGTCACCTACGGCGACAACTCTTTGGTCATGGATGTAAGCGCGTCGCCAAGAATCCCAAAAAATTGGGGATGGCAAGGGGCACCCAGCACAGGTTACGCACCACCTAAGACCCTGCACGGGCACGTGTTTTGCAGCAAGGTACTTCGCAGGTTTAGTACTTCCAGCCAGGCCTTGTCGCAACCTTGTCGTTTGTGTGGGTTAAGTGCTTCTTCACATGCCTTGCAACCCCGTGCGCAGCTACCGTCGTTGGCGCTCCCTGCTCCAGAGCTGGGGCCAAATCCTCCTTGCAGTTGCGCCGACCAAGTCTACAGGCAGCCTGTGGAGGTTTCGACTTCTAAGTCTGAGCTGGTTCAGCAACTGCGGACTGAAATATCGCGCCTGCCACAGGACCACACTCTGTGGACACGAGGTGGCCATAGCAAACCTGGGCTGCCGATGCTTTGCCCCGAAGAAAACAACGCAGTTTGAATAGTCATGCAGGGGGTCACCCAAGGAGTTTGGGTGCAACGCTACCTGACCCATGCACCTCTTTGAACAAGATTGAGGGCGAGCGCGTTGATGACGTTTTGGCCATGTAGCTTCAAGGACAACCTTGTGACGTTGAGAAATCGTTTAGTTGGGGCAGCTTGTTGGAAGTGAAACATTTTTGTTTTTGTCGGCCGGCGAGTGTTTAAGCGTGCCAACGGCAACATCACTTGAGCCAGGACCATTACGCCGCTGATATGATTATCACAAGACCATGATGAGAAGACGGGCCCTGACCGCGTTCGCTCCGCGCCATTGATTCGTTCCAATGTCAGACGTTGCGCGCCCTGACGCTGCTGCTGACACCTCCTTGCTTCAGCTCCGGACCTCCTCACGCACAGCAGTCTTGCTGAGCGTATCTTCGCCTTCAGTGAAGTCTCCTGTCGCCGTTTGGCCAGTGATTGGCACACACTGCCTGGCAACATTGGGAACATCCTTCTCGGAGAAGACGGTGGAGATCGATGCGTCGATGTGGCGGCCTTGCATGAGGCCATGCTGGTCGACGCGCTGACCAAACGCAATCGTGTTTTAAGGGAGAAAATTCGGAAATGGTTGGCCTGATCGAATCTTAGGATCCAGGCGCTGAGGGCAATGAAGCGTGGAGGTCAAAGGCAAAAAAACTGGTAGTGCACTTGTCATCCCTTGTCTTTGACCTCTCGGTGTTTTCGCGTGCAAAAAGGTGGGAAACCTTTGACACTTCATGCCCTATGGAAATGGCAGCTTGAGAGCACGCCAGTGGTGAGGGCCGTAGAGTCGCAGTCTCTGTCCGAAGAATTTTTTGGTCGCTGTAAAGCGTTCAGCCACATTGTCGGCAGAACAAACACCTCAGATAAAAGACGTCCTATCAGACAAAACTAGACGTCGTATCATACGTTGAGGCACTTCATGCTGACGCTGCAAATTCAACGTGTCACCGTGTCACTTTGTTCTGTCATGTTCCTTGGGTTTTCGGAGGCTGTGCTACGGAAGTGGTGTCGTACATCTCCGTCCCTTGAGTTGCTGCAGCGTTTACGCATCTTGCGTCAAGTGCGGACTGAGAAGGCTCAAGCCTTAATGCTGCACGAGAGTTTCCAAAAGTCCCTGGTGAAGAGTCTTACAGAGAGAAGACCTCAGCAGCCCAATGAGGAAAATCAACAAAAAATTCACGAAGAGCCTGCAGCGCTTTTTCATGCAAAGTTGATGCAACATGCCGTTGCTTCTTGGGATTCCTTTTTGGACAAGTTGACAGAGGATCCACAAAGACATGGGAATTCCGGTGAAGTGCGTGCAAAGGCAGGAAACCAGTTTACAGGGTCCTCATTGATGGGGCTGGCAAGATCATTGGGTCTTTGTTCTGCGGGAAAAGCTGCAGCTTTGACCTCTACAGGCTTCCAATTTATTTTGAGCGAGAGGCAGCAGCAACTGTGGTCTTTGCTTTTTGCTTTTTTGAAATCCAAATCGACAGAGAAACTGCTCAACGCTTTGAAGATCATCTTCCTCATTGGGGAACTCAGATTGGGCCAAAGTCTGAAGACGAGTGAAGTTGAAACTGGACAAGAATGCAATGAAGATCCGCTGCCAAGGCTCACAGACGTTCAGGAAACGCTTGTTGAGATGGGCATTCTGTACTGGGAAAGGGGCGACCCTTCACAACTTTTCGTCACACCAGCTGGACTGGCGCTTTATCAGAAGGAAATTAGCACCACATTGTCACGTATCACCGGGAGCTCTGAGGAAGGTGCATTTCAGGGCATCATAGTTGAGAGCAATTTCAAGGTCTACTGCTACACGCGTTGTGCAACCAGTTCCAGCATCTCCCTGCATGTGAAGCTTCTAACCTTTTTCTGTGAGATCTTGTCAGAACTCCCAAACTTCATCGTGGCACAGCTCACGGCGGATTCCGTGCTCCGCGCGTTGAAGCGTGGTATCCGTGTTCAACACATCCTGCGTTATCTTGAGGCGGCAGCTCACCCGAGATCTGGTGGAGCGGTTCCCTCGAATGTTCGGGGTCAGCTGGAGGCGAAACGTCAAAGCTGACATTGTTTTGGCTTGTGTTTCCTTCAGTTTTAGGTCGCTGAATTTATGCATATATTGATATGTTATTTGCTGTGAACCAATGGGTGCTGTTTTTCTTTTTTCGTATTTTCTGGTGAAGCGTAGAAGGACTTGCGCGCCAGGTTTGGGAGTCCAGCCGCTCGCGTGCGTCTGCCAATGAGGCTGTTCTCTTTGAGTGGCAGCTAGGAGACCCTGATGACCTTTTCCTGGAAGCAGAGCATCTGGCGCGCGAAGCAGGCGAGCATGTTCTCAGCGATGTTTGAATTTTTGTTTGTATTTAATTTGAACACGGCTACATAAAGGAACAGCTATCACACCCACCCACCAAAAGGAAGACACGCAAGAGCTTGCAACTGTGAAAGTACAAAAGTTAGTCAGAACCACTTCTGAGCTACTTGAATTGTATGGGGTTCCATGATTTTCTGCCACAATTTCTATTGTTTCAATTTTATCAATATGTTGATTCAACTTCGAGAGGATAGAAGACTGGGGGGCTTGAGACATATTGGAAACTCTAGTGTGCATGACTCGCTGTCAGATCTTATTGGTCAATCACCTCCAACCTAATAGCAAACTTTATTAGACCTTTCTTCCTAACTAGCGATGGCCTCCAACCTACTAGCAGTTGCCTCCAACCTAGAAGCAATGGCCTCCACCCCCAACCTAGAAGCGATGGCCTCCAACCTAGAAGCGATGGCCTCCAACCTAGTAGCGATGGCCTCCAACCTAGAAGCGATGGCCTACATGCTGTCAGATCTTAGAATATGGTTTACCTTGTCGAGCTCTTGAAGAACACACTCGCACTCTGGCAAGTCCGCGATAAGCCACCCCTCGGTGGAGCAAGGTTTCACCTAATGACTAAAAGGCAGGGGCTCAAACCTTGGACAGTGAGGCAGATTGATAGTAGATATTGAAAACACATTGACATCGTATTCTTCAAGATTGTAATGTTTATCTTTGGGTTGTCCACTCTGATTGAAACTCCCCAAGCTCCGCCACTAGGCCACGAGCTTCAACATTTCTGCTCACGTCAAGTCAATGCGAATTGTTTGTTACTAGTAGCAAAAGGAACCTAGTAGCGATGGCCTCCCCGTAGTAGCGATGGCCTCCACCCTAGTAGCGATGGCCTCCAACCGTTGGTCTACAGTGTACAGTCGATTTATTCAGTCTCTCTCGATGTGCCTGGCCCTTCTCCACCAGTCCGCAGTCGCAAAACACCTTCGGAAAGAAATGGTCGGACAGCAAGACATGTGAGATGAATTTGTCAGGAGACCTGCTTTGGTCCAGACGAAGGGCTTTTGATCTTCCACCACTGCTGGTTGTGGCGCGAAGATCCAGAACGATCCCACAAATCCGCGCCCTGTGCTCCTCTTCCGCCTCTTCCTCCACGGTTCAGTCCGCTTCGGGCGCCCCCCGAAAGCGAGCTTGCACAGAAGGTGCTCGTTTTGGCGTCTTGAAGCCCCAAGGGCCTCAAGGGCATTCCACGACTTCGCTGGAGTAAAACGGGTCAAACGAACTCAGAGAGAGAGAGGTTCTGTTCGGAAGGCCGAACAAAGAAAGGTCTGGCTTGAAGGTCTCACAAAGGAGGATAGAACCGGATTGAAAAGAATAGAACCAACATGAACCAACACTTGTTTCACTTGTGTTTCACTCGTTCTTGAGCTATTTCATGACCGACACCTTCCCATTCAGTCCAGGCGCCAGTATGTGCCGCCCGTGCTTGACACGGCCCAGGACAGACTGTTGTCACTTTTGGTGCATCACTTTGTCATTTCGTGCCATCTTTCGTCCACAGGATTTTATCTTGGCTTTAAAATGTCCCTCAGATCCAGATCCGCAGAGGCAGAAGAATGTCGAGGCTTGGCGTTTCCGCACATTGAGCGCAGCTTGCGAGTCAAAGAGACAGACAAGAACACTTGCCCTGATGCTTGTGTGGTTGGGATAGCGATGGCCTCCAACCAATTAGCGATGGCCTCCTTTTCTCAGAAAATTAGTAGAAACAAGAAGCTACTAGGAACAAGTGCATCGCTTCTAGTAACAAGTGCCTTACTAGTA